GAGTTTTCTTGGGAGACAAAATTAGGTTGAGGGTGATGAGGGAATGAGCCTTGGGGAGAAAATGATTCTTATAAAGGGGGTCCAAACCCTAAAAATTAGGGTTTGTGGTTTAGACACGTACGCCCAGCGTATGCAATGTAGGCCCAACGTACATGAGATCGGCCCCTAAATTACAAAAAATGTCACTATGGGCCATTTTGCAACATTTTCATACACAAGGGCTAAAATGCAATTAATCTTCAAACTTAGGGTTAAAATTAAATATACCTCATCATCGGAATGTTACAAAAAAATTATTAATCTCATACATATAGTATTAAAACTTATATATATATATATATATATATATATATATATATATATATTATATATATATATATATATATATATATATATATATATATATATATAAGGGTGTATTTCAAAACTTTTAACTATCATGGTTTAAATTCATTTAACTTAATTAATTTTTAATTAATTAATATTCAAACCTATTTTAGATTTAATATTTATCTGCGAGTTGATATTTAATTAATTATATTAATTCTATTAAGTATTAAACAATTATATTAATTAATCTGATAATTAAATAATATTAATTCCTTTTATACTTCCTCAATTTTTGAATAGGGTTATCTAATTATCTAGTCTAAATGTCCAAAATTCAATTAGATAAATAACAATTAAGATCTAATAATTATCCTACAATTCGAAAAAGGCAAGTAAATCTCAAAACCCTACTGCAGCCAAACCGGGCCGTGCTAGGACTTGGGTGCGCCGCGCCTTGCGATTGGCAGCTTTTTTCGGTTATTTAGGTATTGATTTCTAGTTTCATATATTCATAAATAACAGAAAATCCTAGACTCTAATACCACTGGTGGGTTTTCTAGGTTACCAGCAAGAATATTTACGCAGCGGAATCATAATCATATTATGGGTACTTGTAACCTAGAAGTCTATGACATTTTCTCATGTTATAGCAACATACTTATGAAACAAATTTCTAGTCTAAGTAAATCGAAAAAAATATAAAGTTAGATCACATAGCTTTTGTAAAATTCGAATAATGTAAACAACTCTCTTTGAATCTCCTTTGGAAAGCAAGCACCAACAGTGTGGATGCCTCTAATGGTTCACACCCAAAACCCTAGAACAGTAGAAATCAAGAGGAGGGAAGAGGTAAGAAGAGAAATTCATATTTCTCCTTTTTGGAAATTTTAACTCTGAATTTAGAGGCTAAGAGGTTTTATTTATAGTTAGGGGATCTCCAGGATAAACTCTGCTTTAAATAATTAAATATCATATTTACTCTATTCGGGTGAGTTATCCTTATCAGCTATATGATGCTTCCAGAAACCCTAGAAACCATCTCAAAACTGTCCATATCATGGATGGTTCTAGAATTGCCTTTCCTTGCTCAATTATGAACAATTACAATTCAGTTATCACACCTTTAATTAATTCTAATTAATTCCAGATCAATTCTGATTAATAATTAATTAACTCCAACCATTTCTAATTAATTTATTAATCATATAATAAATTAAAATTATTTTATCTCTCTTCTAAAGTCATTTCTAGTTATTTCTAGTTATTGGGGGAAACCCAAAAAGGACTTCGCTTTTACTCATAAGATTACCTCGATTTAGTTAAGACCATAGGCACATTAATCAAACAACTACTACACTCAAGTTCCTATCAATCTCAAACGGACGACCAAACAGAGGTTGTTAATCGATGCCTCAAATCATACCTTTGTTGCTTCGCAAGCGATGAACCAAACTATTCGAGTAAGTACCTTTATCTCGTTGAATATTGGAACAATACAAGCTATCATATTGCTATTGAGATGCCACCCTTCCAAGACTTATATGACCAACCACCACCATCATTTCCTCATTACACCATAGGTAAGGTTGCTTCAATCGACAACACTTTAGCTGATCATCAACAGCTCATTCAACACCTCAAAGAAACTTTGCAGCGAAGTCATCAAAGAATGACTAATCAGGCCAACAAACAACGTAAGGATAAAGAATTCCAGCTAGGGGATCTACTACACCCCCGTCTTTATATTTATAGACAAGGATCCGTACAGAAATGAGCATCACATAAGCTTTGAAAATGATTCTTTGGTCCCTTCAAAATCGCCGAACGCATATGACAGGTGGCCTATTTCCTCGAACTTCCACCGAGTTCTTGTATACACCCGATTTTTCTATGTCTCCATGTTCCGCCCCTATCATTGTAACCCCACACTATCATCTCTACCATTTCCATAGACATTTATTGAGGATTTGCAATTCATTGAACCAGAAGGAATCCTAGATGAACGTATCATTAACAAAAAAGGTAACACAGTTTCTCAAGTGCTTCTTAAATAGAAGGGACAAGACATGGCAGAAGCTATATGATAAGATAAGGACTATTTCAACATTACCGAACTTGAGGACAAGGTCATTGTTGATAGAGGGGGTATTGATATGAGCACTACTAGGGGTATTACCCAGACCCGACCCAAAAGAATGATATGTCAACCCACCCGTTATGAGGAGTAGCAAGTACTTGGAGCCCACATGTGTGCACTTGATCAGTGAGTCTTCCATCATTGTATGTTTTTAGGTCCTTTATTTGATTGAGTAAGTAGGAGTAAGTCTTTTACCACTTATTTTCAGTTCCTTAGTTTGTGGAAGTTAGTAAGTTAGTCTAGTCTATATATTGTATTCTGTTTTATGAATGGATATGTCGAAAATTGCTCCAAGTGTTCCTCTTCCTTCTTAATTCTTTTGTGGAGATTGGCCCTCTCGAAAAGGTCGTACTTAGAATCACAACCATTGTTGGGGCTACTTTCTTTCAACCTTACGAACAATCACCATTGCTTTATGCTTTCTTTCATATACCTTTCCCCTATTTTCTTTGTCTTCTCGTCACCATACCCTTCCCCTCTCTCTTCTTTGTTATGTCGGTGGTTTGCATCGTCAAGCTGGCCACCGATGGCTTCCATGTCTCACGTAGGCTCTATGATCTCACATTTTCAAATTATAGGTTTCTACATGTGCAGTGGCGAATTTAGAACAAACTATCATATGGTTCCCAAATTAAGTGAAGTCGATAAAAAATCAACAACCCTTGTGGGGGTCGGGTCGGGTCGGATCGTGTACGATTTAATGAACTATAACTGAAAAACCCGATCAGACACTACCGATTAAAATTTTTAAAAACCGACTGAAATATAACTGAAAAAACCGAACGATTTAATGAAAAACTAATTAATTATTAGTGCATTGATACCTTATTGTTTGATAAAAACTATATATTATATTTAACCCCATATTTAAGAGCACAATTGCCCCTTGTAAGTTATTTGTTTCACTTTTTAAAAGTGTTTTTTAAAACATTTTAAAAAAAAAAACAAACTCAAGTAGGTCTCTATTTTTTTTAATGTTGTTCCTAATTTTTGTGGTATATATATTATAAATAAACTTGAAATTTTAGGTAGGTCCTAGGTAGGGGTGTGCAAAAAAACCGCAAAACCGAAAAACCGAGCCTATCCGTCCAATCCGAAACCGAAAAAACCGAAACCGAAATAAACCGCAACCGAAAAAAAAACCGAAACCGAAAAACCCGGGTACCTATGGGTCGGTTTCGGTTTGGATAAGTAGATAATCACGGATACCCGAACCGAACCGTTATATATATATATATAATATATATATATATATATATATATATATATATATATATATATATATATATATATATATATATATATATATATATATATAAATGAATTTTGTGTGATATGGAGTTTCTAATTGATATGCTAATGCGCATACAAAACTTAAAATTATAAACTATGTAAACTGTAAAGTGTGCATCTATTTTTTTTATTTTTTTTTTTATTTTTTATTATTTTTTTTTTTTTATGATATTTATATTATATGTTTATGTATTTGATTCACAAAATGTATGTTTTATCAGCAGAAAATGATATTTTTAGCATGTGAGTTTTTTATTTTCAGAAAGAAGAGTCTTATTTTTTATATTTAGCGGTTACCCGTCAATCAAAACGTGGTTGCCCGCCTTCAAACGGTTCGGTTCGGTTCGGGTTTTTTAGTAATTCGGTTCGGTTTCAGTTAGTCCATGTAAGGTACCCGACCCGCGGTTACGGTTCACAATTTTATTAATATCCGAACCGAATCGCCTCGTAAACACCCCTAGTCCTAGGATCTACCTTCTTCGTTATTTCAAATTTTCATATTTTAGGCTTTCAAATTTTCAAATTTATGTCCTCATGATTTCATATTTGAAGCTTTGCTTCCCTTGTGGTTCATCTCTCTCATTGCTTATGTTAAATTTTTGGATGGATTTTGTTCGAGTTCAAATTTTAAACTATTTTTTATTTCTTTAATTTCTTTTCATAAGGTAAGTATCCATAAATGAGTATTGATGTAAGAAACATGTTTTGGTTGTAAAGAGGGTGAAAAGAGGGTGGGGTGGGATAGAATACGGTCTAAAATCTAAATAATCATTAATTGCAAATAAAAAAACAGGATAAATCTTATTGTCCTTTTACATGTGTAGAGACAGTCGATCTTTACATATCACATGAACCAAGCGCACAATCGTCGTCAACAATTGTCAACATCATGCGATTTTTTATAAACCATATAGAACAATCATGAAATTTTGTCTATTAAATCACTGTCTTTTAAATTCGATCGACAGTAATTAGATTCGAACATACTAGATATATAGTTTGCCTTTTAATATTTGACCGACTAAATTAATTTTCAACTCAAATATTAGTAAATATTCGTTTAAAATAATAGACAAAATCGTTATAGGTTTAAGTTTTGCCGAATATTCATAAAACTACGAAGATATGATATTATCCAGAAACTAAATAGCCATACGATCCATAAACAACAAACTACACGATAATCTTCTACACATTTACATTCATGGCATAATTACTTTCCCTACCACAGCCGGAATCATCAGCTAAGAAGCGGAAACCACCGTTCCCTGAGATCAGACTGGTAAGAAAGCAAGAAGAAGAGAAGCACAAGAACCAAACCAACGCCCCAAGGAGTCCCAGCAGTCGGAGAATCATTATCCGGCACAAAGAAGGGAGAACGGCCGGTGGTGTCGAAGGTGGAGATAATATGCAGAACCACCAGTAGCAGCACCGGCGAGGCTATGAAAAACAGCTTCAGATGATCGAATGCACCCTCGAACATAGATTCGTAATTGGAATACCATGAGAAACTTACGAACATGAAGAGGATGATGAGGAAGAAACACAAATGAATTGGTAGAGGAGATTGAGAAGACATTTTTGGTGGTTGATGATGAGAAGTTTGAGGGTTTGTATGAGTCAAATGTAAGTGGTCTTGGGAGAGTGGTGTTTTACTTATAGTGGGTGGATGGAAACTTTTTTTAATTTTTGTGGGGCCACGTTAAGTTTTTATTATAATAGTTTTATTTTATATGATTAAAGTGAATCTAATGATATATTTGAGTCTCGATCTGATTTAAATTATGACAACATAACGTTTAGTCATATACAGATCAATATTATATATGGAAAAAGTTTTATTTATGCAGGTCTAGATGGGTCCGCCCACGCCAAATCCCAAATTAATGTTTTTGTTTGTTGTGAGCGGAATTCATATTTTCTTTTGTTATTAAAATTAAAACCCATGGAGACCACCGATGAGAAAGAAAAAAAAAATATCAATAAATCATAAGATTATAAGATAAAATATATTAATTTATAAATATATATGTTTCGAATATTATGAAAAAATTATCATTAAAGACGCGAGCTTGAAATTTTGTTCTCAATCAAAATAATAAAGGTAAATTAGATTGGACATTGAAGTTATTATTATTATTATTAAAGTAAATTTTGAAAATTTCCCTTGTATTACTAACTTGGTAATTATCTTAAAATAAGGAAAATATATTTGTTATTCCCCTAAAAGAACGAATTAGTTAATATAAATTGTTGTGTTATCTTATTATCTTATCATTTATTACTTTTCAAATTACTTTTACATTTTAAATAATATACGGAAATTGTTTCAAATAATATATGAAATTGATTATAGACTATTTTGAATTTGAATTTAGGAGTTACATTTGGTGTAGTATTGATTTAATTAATAGTTTGACACATGGCAGAATGAGGTTAACTCTATTCATTTATTAGATAGGGAGATTACTACAAAATATTTATAAGACAAAATTACAAAAATGGTTCATTGTTATGACATCCTTTAAATTTGAGAACTAAAAAAGATTTTTTTTTTTTTTTACGTTTTAAAAATCATGATATTTCGTTTGCGGAAAATCTCAGTATATAAAAATCTTTTTTGAGAACAAAGATTGTTTCAAATAAAATTCTAAAGATGTCATAATCAATACAGATACATATATCACAGCATAAAGACATAATGGTCCTGAACACCATTACAAGTTGTCTCTTAATCACTTAGCATCATAATCAAGTTCTAGTAGCTTACATCTTGATACATGTGATACATACAAACTGGGTGGGTCGGGTTAGCAAACCTAGTGAGATACATATGGATTTCAATCTGACAATGTTATAATATTTATATCTTAATCCTTCAAAACCAACTGTTACCAAACAATATATAGATATATTCCCAGCTTTGATATCTATAAAACCTCATACCTATACATACCCACCCTAATGGACCAATCGATCCTCAAGAATCCTATTCCACGATTATCAGGAAGATAAATCGTTTAAAAGAAAGGGCTTGACTATACTGCTAAGGGCTTCCTTGGCTGGTGAAATTCATAAAAGCATTGGTGCTATTAGTGTATTTGATGAATATGGTATCTCATTTCATCTATGTCGGTGGCTTATGCGCCCATACTAACAACGTAATTTGCAAAACCGTCTAGAATGATCAAATGTTGTCATCTTACTCGGAGAGATAACTAGGCATACCATTACAGTTGTCTGATTTGGACCCACATTTCTGCTCATCCAAAAAGTAATATAATTTGTACTCTGGTACGTATTTCGTATCATCGACACCTGAAAGTATCACGGAATAGAAATCTACTCTCCATTCCTAACTTACACACACATACTCCGAATGAGACTACCCAATATCAAACTTAATTGAACTAGACATCTATAATAAGTCTTATCTCGTTAACGGACAAAACACAACTAGGCTTCAAATATCAACTCTGTTTAGACGACACTATCCTAATTTAGTGTATATTTTTATCACAAAGTATTTATGTATTAATATACTTTTATCTTTCTCTCTAATAATACTTATATATATATATATATATATATATATATATATATATATATATATATATATATATATATTAACACATATAGAACCATATATCATTCACATATCATATATCATTAAATACATTTCTAACATATAATCAAGGTTCTAAATGACATGAGGCGTGACGTGGCGCCAAGGTCAAGCCTCAAGCTTAACGAGCCATGGCGAGCCATGGTGTTTCTCAAGGCGTGATGTAAGGCGGGGATTTTGTTTTAATTTATAATTATATTACAACATAAATATAAATTTATATTAAATATAACTACTTTTTAGAAGTGTTATATCAATAACTAATAACAAAAGGTTAACAAAAAACACAATACTTGTATCCTCGATTAGAAAAGACATAAAAAAGAGCAAAAAAACGTGTCTCAAACGAAAAAAAACATGCACCATAACGCGTCATGGCATGCCATATCACGCCTTGTCACGCGCCACGCCTAACAACAACGTTATGAAGCTTTACTTAACGGTGAAGCCACGCCTCACGTCATGGCGTGTCTTTTAGAACACTGCATATAATCCATGAAATAAGCATATAGCTCACATATACACTCACCTGACTTTGGTGGATGACTGGTGATTTGGGCAGAGCATCGCCTAACACCTTAGTCTTTCCTTTGACGTGACCTAAGTATGATTAATACTTAGTCTTAGTCTAATATTCATGGTGACTAATGATAGTCTAGATTTCTCACTAATCCCAATGTCTACATCAAGATATATCAACAAAGGAATAACCAGGTAGGATCATATCGGAGGTAGGGTCCTTTTGGTATATAGAGTATACTGTTTGGAAATCTCATTTTAAATACGTCACTAAATCCAGCCTGGACATCATTCCCGTAAGTAGATCAATCAATATAATGATTTGAAATCACTGATAAATCTTATTAATACTACGAATTTCATTTTGGTTTCTTAGGCTAATAAGCAACCTATCTAAAATTCACATTTTACGACGCGCATAGTCGTGTCTGTTTAATCGTGCAACTTCGAAAAATCATAACTTCTTCGTACGAAGTCGGATTTCAGTGTTCTTTATATGTACGGTATCGTCGTTACATATACTATAACCTTGGTTAATATTATTTATTTTAAATAATCTTCTATCAAAATGTCATTTATCGCTTATTATATCTTAATTGTCAAGCTCAAATCTGCGGGCGTTACAATTATCTCACCCTTAGGATGATTATGTCCCGAAATCATCAACAAATCATGGCTTGTAAAATGATTATGAATGTCACCATTCCATTGTAGGTAATAACTGTAAGTCTTATGTCTTTTCAAATGAGTATCTAAGTCTTGGATTTCGTGACTGTTGGCGGTGCTCAAACTTGCACCCACTCTTCATTCTTGTTCGCGCCTTTAACCCTAAACTTCAAATTACAAATTGCACCTTCGTCAAAGACTCTCGCTCATTCTTAAAACAAGCTTATTTCATGATAAGGACTTTACTCCAACTACAGTAACATACCAAATGGTCATGCTCTAACGACCTTCTATCGCATGATGTAATGGTTAGACTCAAGTTTCTTTATGATTCGTACTATAGTATGGAAGATACCTTCCTTCGTGTTCTAATGTGATTCAACCACATCAGTGTAGGTTGCATTTATAGCTATTGGATGCTCAGTCTTATTGATGGTTGCAATACTCATGTCGATTATATTTTTCTTTAACCCATTAACTAAAGTCGGACGCTACATCGATCATGGTTCTCTGAACCGAGTAACTCTCTTTGCAGATTTATCCTATTTGGACTCGATTTTGATATGACCACTAGGGTTTGAAAAACATTTGTTTTCATAGTCATCACCGAAACAAAGGTAATAACGGAAAAAAAAAAACAAAACAAAGTCAACTACTAGTGCCTTAGTAACCTTGTGACTTTCCCTGATCCAAGTGCGATTCATGTGCTTCCGGTAGTATAGGTCTCAACTACCTTTCACACCTACTCATACTCGTCCCAAAAATTGTCACTATTAAAGAAAAATCACATAGTAACTTAACACGTTGGATAACATAACATACTTAGGGGTTTTATAAGTTCTGAAAATGATTACAATCATATTCAAAGTCTATTATACCGTATGCCTCTATTAGGATATATACTACAAGACTATCTATGCGGGGTGACCATTTCATGTCCTGAACTCCCTGGATAAGTAGCTTCTTTTTATTGACTCCCTAAAGCAACATTTTCTTCCTCCTTTACATCCCTGAGGGTCGTCTATAATGTTCGTGCAGTTTCTTCCTTCCTTGGGAAATCCTTTGAAATATGCCTACTACCTCGACATTCGTAACATTTCTTGTCATTGAACATATAGCCTTTGGAATAGTGATCATTCCTTTCACATTTGTAAAAGGTCACCACTTCCTTGGATTGACTAAAATGCTTCTTTCTGCATTTTTCACACCACATTGCTTCTTTATTCCTCCTAGGCTTCGTGTCATTGAGGCTAGGCCTTAAAAATCTACTCATTTTATTGGATTTTTAGGATTCTTCATTCTTCCTCTTCTTTTCCACTTCAGCTTGGTCGAGGGATTTCCCTTTGACTGTGTATTCAAGGGATTTGGAAACATGGATGGCCGCTTCCAAAGTGGTTGCTAATTTCACCAGTGGACCAAAATCCGTTGGTAATCCATTAGAAAATCTTTCTATCTTGGAGAGTTCAGTAGGAAACAGGTAAGGAACTAATTCCATCTTCTCAGTAAAAGATGAAACGTACTTGCTGATGCTTATCTCTCCTTTCTTCAGGTTCTAGAATTCGTTGCTTATCTCCAGAAGGTCTCTCTTCGAGTAGTATTATCCTTTCAACTGCACAAGGAAGCCCTCCCATGACAACTTCCTTGCTTCTCCATTTGGAATGGTATTAGCCAACTATTTCCACCAGCTCAATACTCCATTCTTTAGTTGTCTGGCTACAAAGATTTTTTTCCGTTTGTTGCTACAGTCACAACTTTCAAACACCATTTCC